CGTCGCATCACCGCTGGAAGGGTGCTCAAAGCCCTGGAAGCTGATGGTGAGCGCCTCGGCGGTTGACCCGGTGCGCCGGAACCGGAACTGCACGCTTTCACCAGTGCCTACAACGCTCCGTAACCGGCTCCACGGTGACCACGACCAGGGTATCGTTGTCCTGAACGGTAACCGTGGCCTCGTCCGGGTCTCCCGGAGTGTACCTCTCGTCATCCCTGCCCCAAAATATCCGTCGCCGTACAGTTGAATGGTGTAGTCGCGCTCCGAAGGGTAGTCCACCAGGTCGTTGTTCTCAGTTGCAACGGATAACTCGGCGGTGACGGCGGCGGCATCGAACTTGGCGATCATCAGGCGCCTGTGTGCGGGGTCTTCGAGGTCTACCAGGATGTACAGTTCTTCGTCCGTCACCCCCGTCCGGGTCAGCACGAAGACGACTTCCTCCCCCTCGGTTACCTGGGACTTCATGGGGGCGACGGTGACCACAGCAGGGTCGTCGTCCAGGATGGTGCCGGCGGCGGCGGTGGTAGCGCCGCCGGTGATGGCTGCTGCGGTGGTATCTGAAGGCAGGGATATGGTGACGTTGAAGATCTCGTTGTGCTCGTCGGTCTCATCCCCGGTCACGGACACGTCGAACTCGGCGGTGGTGTCGCCGGCGAGAATGGTCACCGAGCCATTGCTTACAGCGGTGTAGTCCTGTCCGGCGGTGGCCGTGCCGTCGGAGGTGGCATAGTTGACCGTTACCGGCTTGTCGGTAGCTCTGGCCAGCGTAACCACGAAGGTCCATGCGCTGCTGCCCGAGTCGCCCTCATCTCCCAACGCCGGGCCGATGCTGACGCCTGGCTTGTTGTCGTTATCGGTGATGGCACGGTGACTCGGTCGGACCTGCCCCCCTCCGGGGTGTGGCCCTGCCAGTTTTCCCAGGTTGTGTACTTTCCCTGCAGGTTCACGCGCCGCTCGTAGTGTCGGGCAGCAGTTCGATGGTCACCGACCCGTCTCGCCAAAGGCCCCGTCGTCCACGGTCTGGAATTCGATGACCTTACTGGTCTCGTTCTGGCCGAAGGTAATCTCGGTGGGCAGGACGCCGGTTATGTACCGCCCGTTTTGCCAAACTGCAGGCCTGACAGATACCACGTGTCAGGATCTGGACGGCGGAGGATACGCCAGCAGCTCGGTGCGCCCAGCGCGCTCCAGATGAAGCTTGCGCCGGTTGCCCTCGCGACCGCGGTGCACTCGGCCTGATGAGAGTATGTCGGGTCCCGGTTTGTGACGGTGAGGCGAATCTTATTGACAGTACCCACCTGGTATTGGGGGCAGTACCGCAGGTCGGATTCATTGCAGGCGAAGTCGGGTGATAGCCTGCAGGCTGATGGGGTGAAAAATGTTCTTCTTGGTAATCAGCGTGCCGGCGGCTTGTGCTTCCGCCGCCGCCGCTTCGTATTGCACGGGCGAGCTCCGCAAAGAGCCTTGGGCGGTAACGTGATGACCCTCCCCCTTGCTTTACCAACTCACTCCGAGGCACGATTTCAATTTCGAGCACGCCGTTTTCCGGCCCTACGTAGAACCTGTAATCCCTGTACGTGACCGTTTGGCTGCTACAGTCGGTGCCCAGGTGGTGGATGCCGGCCCTGTTGTATCCCAGCGTGTTGTTCTGGTCTTGCTCTCCATAGAAGGCAGGATGGTTCGAGTACTGGACCCACATTGATACCGGATCCAAGTTGACTCTCGCGTCGTCAGAGAACTCGGTAACGCCGGTGCAGGTCGAGTTATAGGTAAACTGGGTCCCCTCCACAATTTTCCCTTCCCAGGTTGTCCCGTCAGACGAAAGTGTCAGTCCGGTGGGGCCGACCGGCCGGATCAGGCTCACGGTGGGGATGTCGTCGTCCTTGACCAGTACCTGGGCATAACCGGTCCCGATGCTGAAGGGGTTGGCGACCCGCTGGACGATGGTGACGCCGAGCCAGCCATCGCCCTCGTTTATGCTGTCGGCCTCCGTGGTGAGAGGAAGGGTCTTCTCGGTTTCCCCTGCCGCGAACTCCAGGATGTAGTCCACCCAGGCCCCGTTGAAGGTTAGCCTCTTTGACTGGTCCTCGTTGTCGCTGGTGAGGACTATGGTCTCGGTGGCGTCGGTCATGATCTTCGGCAAGCCGGTCACGTAGAGTCCGACCCGCAGGGATCCCGAGGTGTTGCCCGACCTGGTGATGCGGTACTGGGCGTTGGTCGCCTTCGGTGACCACGGCGGCGACCGCTTCGACGGAGATAATCGGTGGGTCATTGTCGAGCAGTGTGGTGGTGACAGCGCTGCTCGTGCCCGCCACGTATTTGCCGTTGGTGTCGGCAAGGATTGTGGCGGTAACCGAGCCTGCGTTTTCCGACACCGCGTCGTCCGCGGTGTCCAGGTGAGGGTGGCGGTCAGGGAGCGTGCGCAATGGTTACGGGTATGGTGACCAGTCAGTCAGCGTCGGGCTGGTGCCCGTGGGCCAGGTGATGTAGTCGCCGGTCTCTGCCAGCTGTACGTTTACGATTAGCTGCCCTGGATCCTGCCCCGGGGCCCAGGTGCGCGTAAGCGTGTACGACAACTGGGCGCCTTCGGTGACGTCACTCCCGCCGGAAATGGACACCGTGGAAGGGGAATCGTTGTCCTTGACCGTAATGGTGCGCGTGTTCAAACTTGCCGCGGGGGTGTAATTCCTGTCGGGGTCCTCCTGCACGGTGATGGTCACCGAACCGTCGGCCTCCATTGCGGCATTGTCCAGCAGGGGATGACACATTTTGAAGGACGATCCCACCGGCAGAGTGACCTGCAGCTTACCGTTGCCCAGGTCCTCGTATACCCTCGCCCCTTCGCCATCAAGGTCCAGATAGCTGCCCACTCCGGTGACCGAGAGGGTCACCACGAGCGGTTGGCCCCTGGCGGCTCCGTACACCACCAGGCTATGCTGCCGCCCTCCAGCTCCGTGTCCAGATAACTGTGGGTGTAAGGGTGGAAGGAGCGAATCCCAGTACAGGGAAACCGTGGCAGGCACGTCGTTATCGCGCACATCGGCGGACGCGGAGAGGCAAGGCCCGGGTATGTACTTGTACTGGTCGGCCTTGGCGGGAACCGAGAGTGTGACCGTGCCGTCATCCTCGTCCCTGTAGTCGTCCTCGGTCGGGAGCGCAATGCGCTTGCTGGTCTCGCCTGCCGCGAAGGTGACGTTCAGGGTGAAGGGGGTCTCCGTAAATTCAACCTCCGTTGGTGTAACCGGATTCTCGGGCATGTTCGGGTCCGGGGGCGGATACACCTCTACGGCGCCGGACAGGAAATCCCCGGTCTGGTCCAGGGACAGGGATACGGGAATCGCCCCGTTGTCCCGGGACCTGGTTACGATGAACGCCGCCTTGCCGCCTTCGGCAAAGCCGAGTGGTCCGGGTCACCTCCACCATCACCGGGTCGGCGGCGATGACGGACAGAGCGCTGCCGGGAGCGGTGTTTTCGTTCCCGTAGGCGTCGGTGGCAGCGCCCGCCTCCAGGGTCACGGTTACCGGCCCCTCCGCTGCGGACACGATGATCACGTCCCAGCGAGTGTACCTGGGCCACATGGCGTTGACGCCGGTGGGCCTGCACGTCGTGAGCCGCGCCGTTGGTGACCGTTATCTCGGCGTCGGTTATGCCGTAGACCTTCTCGCTGAAGTAGAAGACGACGTTGAACTGGCGGTCTGGGGGAACGTAGGTCCTGGTCTCCCCGCCCACCGTCACCGTGGGAGCGATGCCGTCCACCTTGTGGTCGTTGGCCTGGAGAGCGGCGTGGGTCAGCGTGGCGTTGGTGGCGCCGGCGCGGATGGCGCCGCCGTTGAGGGCCAAGCTGTTGGCAACCACGGCGATGCCGTCCGTGTCCTCATCGCCCGAGAGCGACGGTGTAGGTGAACAGCAGCTGGGTGGTGGTGGTGCCTTCGGAGTACTCGGCCGTACGGCTCAGGCCTCCCACGTCGAGGTTGAGCTGTGGGGCGCCGGTGACCGTCACTGCTTCGCTGAAGGTCAGCCCGACCTGGATTTCGTCGCCAATGGCGTAGCCGCCGTCCTCACCGGGATCGGACGTTACGGCGACGGACTCGATGGTCGGCACGGTGGGCGTGCCCTGTGCGTAGGCGACGCCTGCAGAGACCAGCAGCGCGAGCATGACTGCCACAATAAAGAGCGATCTGGTCAGCGCCCAGACCACACCTGGAACATCGACAACACGGGACCGTGCCTTCAACATGAACATATTCGGCATGCCTGCATAGTTAGCGGCTACCGTTCCTTCTGGTTTGCAGCGCGGTGTAGTTGGCCATCACCTTGGAGAGTGACGGAGGCGAAGACTGCCATCTCCTCCTCGCTGACGCCCTCGAGAGCCTGGCGTCGTAGGCCTGCACGCGCCGGTGAAGCTCCAGCGTCAGCGCCTTCCCCTCTTCGGTCAACGACAGCATCACCACGCGCCGGTCGTTGGGCAGGCGCCGCCTGCGCATCAGACCCCTGCCGACCATCTTGGTCACCACGACGCTTATGCGGGACAGCGTGACCGGGAGTCGCCTTGGCCAGCTGCGTGGTGGTGCGCTCCTCCCTACCCAGGAAGACTCTGAGGAGGGCGAACTCCAGGGGTATGAGGTCGTGGGGCGCCACCAGTTCAGCCATCCCCTTGGCCACGGCGTTCACGAGGACGGCCACACATGGCCCCAGATCGAGGGGGGGCGGCGTCGGCGCCGGGCCACCCTGCGGCTGCTCCTCAGTCGGTTCCACCAAAACATGCGTCTCCTTGCGATTGTTTCGCCCGCAGAACAATTTACAAGGCGCGTGTGTACTTGGTGTGACCTTTGACCCCGAAACTGTGCCCTTTTTGTGACGTTTCGGGAGTTGGTGGTATAATCGGACCCCATGAACTGGACATTGCAGAATCGCAGGTACTCCGCAGGCCGGGCGTCACGCTCGAAGAAGCCGACAGTCTGAGGCGAGAAAATGAGGCGCTGCGGGACGCCTCTCCGGGCTGAGCGAGGCCAGCCTTCGCATCAGCCGGAGCCTCGACCTCGACACCGTTCTGCAAGGGGTCATAGACGGCGCCTGTTCGCTGACCAGGGCCCGCTATGGCGCGCTGGTGGCCTTCGACGACTCCGGGGGCATAGAGACCCTCATCACCTCCGGCATCACCCCCGAAGAACGCCCGCGGTTTGGGGACTTGCCCAAGGGCCTGGGGCTCCTCCAGTACCTGAACGAGATCGAGGGACCGCTGAGACTGGCGGATATCTCCAGCCACCCCAGGTCGGTCGGCTTTCCTGAGGGCCACCCGCCGATGAGAACCTTCCTGGGGACCCCGGTCCTTCATCAGGGCGAGAGCCTCGGCAACATCTACCTGACCGAGAAGGAGGGCGGCCGGGAGTTTACGCCGGATGACGAGGAATCCCTGGTCATGTTCGCCTCTCAGGCGGCGGTCGTCATCGCCAACTCCCGCCGATACACGGAGGAGCATCGGGCCAAGGACTACCTGGAGGCCCTGGTCAACACCGTGCCCGTGGGCGTCTCGGTCTTTGACGCGAAGACGGGTGACCTGGTGTCGCTCAATCAGGAGTCGAGGCGGATTGTCCGCGGGCTCCGCGCACCGGGTCGTAGCCAGGCGGAAATCCTCAGCGTGTTGACCTTCCGGCGTCCGGATGGACGTGAGATTCCGCTCGCGGAAATGCCAACGGAAAGGGCGCTGAAAAGCGGCGAGACCGTGCGCGCCGAGGAGATCATCATTCAGCTCCCGGACGGCCAGGCGGTCACTACTGTCGTAAACGCCACTCCAATCTTCTCGCGGGAGGGCGCGGTTGTGTCCGTCGTCGCCACCGTGCAGGACATGACGCCGCTGGAAGACCTGGAGCGGCTGCGAGCCGAGTTCTTGGGCATGGTGAGCCACGAGCTGCGGACGCCGCTCACCACCATCAAAGGCTCCGCCGCCACCTTGCTGACCGCCTCGTCCACGCTCAGTCCCGCCGAGATGGGCGACTTCTTCCGGATCATCGACGAGCAGGCGGACCATATGCGCGGCCTGATCAGCGACCTTCTCGACGTGACGCGGATCGAGGCGGGTTCATTGTCGGTTACTCCCGAACCCACGGTTGTGGCGGCCCTGGTGAACCAGGCAAGGGAGGTGTTCCTGCGCGGCGGGGCAAGGAACAGCATCGAGGTCGACCTCCCGCCGGACCTGCCCCGGATCGGGGCCGATAGACAGCGCATGATGCAGGTCCTGACCAACCTTCTCTCCAACGCGTCCAAGTATTCGCCCGATCAGTCCGCCATCAGAGTGAGCGCATCGGTGGAGGACGTGTACGTCGCCATCTCCGTCTCTGACGAGGGGAGGGGCGTATCCGCCGAGCGCCTGCCCCACCTCTTCAGGAAGTACTCCCGGATCGACAGCGAGACCTGGGCCGGCATCTAGCGGGAGAGGGCCTGGGCCTGGCCATCTGCAGGGGAATAGTGGAGGCGCACGGGGGCCGAATACGGGCCGAGAGCGAGGGACCGGGACTCGGAACGCGGTTCACCTTCACGGTTCCGGCGGTCGACGAGGCGGCCAACGGCTCGGCAACCGGCCCAGGCCCGCTCCCCGCCGACTCAGGAGGGCGCGGGAGGTCGGGCGCGCATTCTCGCAGTCGACGACGAGCCGCAGATACTCCGCCTCGTCCGGAACACGCTATCGGACGCAGGCTACACCCCCATCGTGACCGGCGATCCGGATGAGGCGCTCCACCTCATCGAGCAGGAGAAGCCCCACCTCATCCTGCTGGACATGATGCTGCCCGGGACCGACGGCATCGAGCTGATGAAGCGCATCTCGAGATCACCGACGCGCCGGTCATCTTCCTGTCCGGCCACGGCGGAGATCAGATTGTCGCACGGGCCTTTGAGGCGGGAGCCGACGACTACATGGTCAAGCCCTTCTCGCCAACCGAGCTGGCGGCCAGAATCGAGGCGGTACTGCGCAGGCGGGCGGCGTCCGACCGGAGCAGGAGCACGCGAACCGTATGTGCTGGGAGACCTGACGGTCAACTATGCAGAACGCCGCGTCACAGTGGCCGGACGTCCGGTGCGACTGACCGCGACCGAGTACAAGCTGCTCTTCGAGCTTTCGATCAACGCCGGACGGGTGTTGACCCACGACCAACTGCTGGGACGGGTCTGGGGCCGGGACTACTCCGGCGATTCACCGCTCCTACGCTCCTTCGTCAAGAAGCTTCGCGGCAAGCTGAAGGACGACGCCAACAGCCCCAGGTACATCTTCACCGAGCCTCGCGTCGGCTACCGCATGGCAAAGACCTAGCGCGTCGAGGCGCATAGAGGAGGCAGCGGCAAGGAAGGATAGGTGACGCCATGACCGTCAGGATCGTAACCGATAGTTGTTCGGGCTCTGAAGTTGTCCCGGAGTCATGAGTGTATCTACGATGGGCAAGCCCCCGATCCCCGATGGACCGACCTCCATAACAGCCTCCTGGCTTAAGCAGGCCCTGTCTGCGGGCGTCGCGTCCGATCTTCCCGCCTTAAAGGAAGTCGACGTGGAGGTGGTCGGGGCGGGGGTTGGCCTCATGGGGGAGGTCCTTCGCTGCCGCCTCACCTACGAAGACGACGCCCCCTCCGCCCCCGACTCCGTCATCGTAAAGCTGCCAAGCCCCCACCCCAAGAACCTGAAGATGAGCAAACTGCTACAGCTTTACAAGCGGGAATATTCCTTCTACATCCGCCTCGCACCTCACGTCCCCATTCATGTTGCGGCCCTCTACTACGGAGATTTCGAGGAGAAGACCCACCGTTTCGTCCTAGTCCTCGAAGACATGCGCGGCATGGAGACCGGCAACCGGATTGAGGGCGCCACCGAACGCCAGGCGAAGGTCGCCATTCGCGCCATAGCCAGGCTCCACGGCTCATACTGGAACAAGGTGGACCGGCCCCCTGTCGCCGGCCTGCACTATTCCCTCCACCCCAAGTACCGGCCTCTGGTCCAGTTGGCCTATCTGCGCTGCCTTGTCCCCGCCCTCAAGAATTTTGGCGACCACTTCTCCGAGGACATGCGCCGCCTTGCCGAGGCCTACGGCCCCAGAATCGCTGACCACATGGCCGACGTCGCCGCCCAGCCCCTCACGTTCGGCCACGGCGACTTCCTCCTCGACAACATGTTCTTCGGCCCCGACGGGTCCGATGACTTCGCCGTCATCGACTGGCAGGTCAGCGGCATCAGCTCCGGCCTATACGACGTCGCCTCCTTCATGAGCGACAGCGTCTCTACTGAGACCCGCCGCAAGATCGAGCGCGAGACCCTCCGGGAATACCACGATGTCCTCTGTAGCGCGGGCGTCAAGGAATTTTCCTTCGAAGCCTGCTGGCGCCTCTACCGACAGAACATGCTCGGCCGCCTCCTCGCCCCCATCTTCGTCTGCGGCGGCCTGGATCTCTCCAACGAGCGCGGCCGCGCCCTCGCCGAAAACGGTCTCCGCAAGACACTCGCCGCCGTAGAAGACCTCGAAGCCGGCGAATTCCTCCCCACGCCCCGCCCCCTCTACACCCCTGCCAACGCCTTCTCTATCCTCTCCCGCTGCGCCTACAAGCTCTACAAGACCGTGAGATAAATGGATCGAGTTATTGAGAAGCGCTGAGGACCTTCCCATAACTCCTTGCCAAGTAGAATGGCATGCGGGGCGTCGGAGCAGATCGAGGTCGTTGACTCGCGGCCCGCCGGGGGGCGCCCAGGCGCTGCTGGCCCTCAGCGCCGCTCGATGGGCAGGTGAGATGTCCGACCATCGCGAGGTGGCTCGGCGGGTTGAACGGTCGATTGAGAGGAATCACGGCTTCGTATTGGTCGACACCCTGAAGTATCTGGCGATGGGCGGACGCATCGGCAAGGCCCAGGCCCTCCTGGGCGGGGTGCTCCAATTCAAACCCATCGTCGGCATCCGCGACGGCGAGACCCACCCTGTGGACCGGCCCCGCACCCGCAGGCGGGCGCAGAGACGGATTATCGAGCTGGTGCGCGAGCTGGCTCCCATTCACCAGTTGCACGTGAGCTACAGCACCGGCCCCGATAACGCCCTGGCCGTTCGCGACGAGCTTGCCGACCTCGTGGAGCCGGAACGCCTCATCGAGTCCCCGTTCGGTCCGGTCTTGGGCACTCACCTCGGTCCCAATACCATCGGCGTGGCGGCAACCCAGGGAAGCGTCGAGGACGACTAGCTGCTCTCAGTGGGAGAGACGGCTAGACCGATGCTACAAGGAGCCGGGATGTTCGAACAGGCCAAAGGCTCGTGAGGACGGATTGGAGACACGGCGAGAGAGCCTGGGACCGAACCGGCCTGCATTGTTCATGTCAGTCGCCTTCTAGGTCTGGCTCGGATGGCCGGAGGCTCCTGGGCCTAAGCCGGTGTTTCCGAGCGGCTCCTTATATAAGGACTTCCCAGCGAAAAGTTCGCCATTAGGTAGAGTACGCCCGGCCTCACCGAAGAGCTCGAAATCTCTATAGGGATCGCTAGGTGTTGTCAAGGACTACAGAGCCCCCAGCCACAAATCTCGAGATGGTCTGTCTATCGTCCACGTAGGCCCAATCCACTGTATCCAACAGTCATTCCCCAGGAACAGATGAATCAGTGTTATCGGATTGTCTTGAGCAGGACCAAGCGCATATTGGTAGCAGCAGAAGGAGAGTGCAGCGAGCCACTGAGCCAGATGCATGGTATGGAACACGCCACGCGCTTACTGATAGTCCGAATGGGACCGTGAAATCGTTGACCGGCGACTCGTTTCGCGTCACCAACAGTCCTCGATCAATTGGCATTGCAGTAGCGACCACGTCATGTGCCCTATTCTGCGAAATACGCCCATAAAGACCTGCAGCTCGTTGTCAGACGGTCCTAGAGAAGGGCCACTTCTAGCTACCCGAACCGGCGACAAGGAGAAAGGCCTACGACCATCTGGAATGAACGCTACTGGCTGTTGCGGGCGCGGCAGGAGGGCTTGAGTGATCTGTGATTCTGCTCATGCGTTCCCGGTTGAGCGTTGTCCAATGAATGGGCGTAAGGCCTACACAGAGTGCGAGCACCACTTCCGCTAGCGTCTGCTCCCTTTGATGACGGCGCATGGTGGTGGTGTGTATGGTAACAGGAGAAAGGCGACGTCCGGCGGCGGCCAAGGGCTTGTTCTGCCATTGCAAAGAGGCCATGAGATGCTGAGCACGTAGCGTGTCCATCAAGATTACGGTCAGCTGAAGCACCCTTTATGCTGTCAACGGTGCTGGAGGGCGTGGACGCATACATGGGCCGCAAGCCACAATCGAACAAGGTCGTCTACACGTCAGAATCAGCCCACATAACCCGATCGCCGGCTGGGAATGTTGAGAAATGTGCAAAGGGATCGCCGCGCTAGAGTCCCCAATCCCTCCCCTCCCGGTAGAAGTGGCAGAGATGTAGTTAAACTCTGCTGCGGTTGGTCACATCATCCTACGCCGTGGCATCGGCCATTGTTGGTTTCGATGCTCACACCGGCGTGATATCCGTGTCCTAAGACTAACAGTGACAACAGAGTCACATCTCAGTCACTCATCCCGCCTGCAATGAGGCGCGCAACTATCTGCCGCCGGCAACCCTGGAGGCCAGCCGGCATGCCTCTGAACACTGCGTCCGAAGCTGAAGTTGACGTGGAGGGGATCGTCGTTGACACACAACAGCGCGGACGAGGACCGCGACGGTCGCGGGGCTAGTGGTAGTTCGACCAACGCGTGATTCAAGACACGTGCAGGGCAATCGGCAGGCAGCGCACACCGCGGCGGCAAGCGCATGCCAGGGTCGACGTGCTGGATGTTCGTGGATGCGGACGATACTATGTGCCTGTCACGCTCCTCATCGAAGCGGTACATGAGGCGATGAGCGACCCCGACTGCCTGCGAGAGCGTGCGGAGGTGGACTATCGACCTCGACGACGGGTCATGCGAGTGTACCTTCAGAGCTGTGAGGCAGCTCGCGAGCGCGCTCACTGCAATGGACAGGGCCAAACCCAGTTCTGCCGCCGAAAGCAAGGCGCGTACGATTTAGTAGCAGCGTCATCGACGAGAGGGACCTGGATAGGCGAGGAGCGGTGTGCGACTTCATGCTGACGGCTGCAGAGCAGCCGCGATGAATACGCGCAGACGGTACGCATTGTTGCGCTGTAACCAAGCGTGGTGCCGTCGACAGGCGGCGGCGCTTTGCACAAGCTGCGTCTGAGAAGTTGCTGGCTGCTGCACACACAACACCTCTATCATCGCGCTGTTTCGCCGTGCGAAAGCGGTGTGGCTGACTGGTACGAGCGACCTGTACGGCAGGCTCGCAGATTCTCGCCACTGCATCTGAAAACGCCCAGCGCACCGGTGCGAGTGTTAGCGGAGCGGTAACAAGTCGGGCCGCTATCCCATGCTCGGAATCGTGTTACCATTGAGAGTGACAGTTGGACGATGTACTTCGCCGCAGGTACGGCGGGAAGGACCTGACACGAACTTGAAGAGGAGTACTCTATCTGGTAGCAGTCCTACCGGTCTGCAGTGTGGCGACGGCAGCAACACTGCGAAAAGCGAACCGACACGCGACTAGTCGACCCCCGTCCTTCCTACTCAACGGCCTGCGCCCACCATACACGACGCCAACGGCCGGTCCCTACGCCTGTCCCACGTCACTCCCACCCCGGCTCAACTCATACGCCAACGACCGACCACGCCCTGAGCCCACACACCGGACTCAGCCCGACACGTGTGTCACGCGGGGGAGAGAATCTAGCCGTCGTCTGGGACTTGCCACAACGGACGCTCCCTGACAGCGCCGCAGCAGTCGCATCTTGCAGCGCGGGCGGGCGTTGGAGACTGTCAGGAGCTGTCTCCATATATGAGGAGTGACTCGGCCCTGCTCGCGCTCTTCCGTTGGAGAACGAGCGATGGCGGCTGAAGCCTCAGCTATCGCGGGCGGAGAGCGGCGCGCCATGATCAGACCGCGCACAGACTCCGCTACCTGATACGACATAGCCCGAGGAGGAGGCGGAGATGGAACGATCACAGGTGCAGCTCGCATGGCCGTGATACAGTCCCGCCGACCCGGATACGGCCTGTGCGTTCACCGTCCGCTCCAGCAGACTGCAGATTCGCGAGAGAGCCTGCAGCTGGTTGAGCATGTTCATGACTTCCTACTCTACATCGACCCTGGCATTTCCCTTGAAGGTACATGACGAATCTTGACGATGCGAACTCGGTGAACGCGCTGGTTCCGAGCAGCGCAACTCGCGAGCCCGAGGCACCTGATTCCTTTTCCGTGTGGCACGGGCGATCCTCGAATGACCGTTCTGGTGGTCGTGGCTGACTTCTGCGACCATGCGCGAGGATCAGGATTTCCATTCCACGGAAACGCAGGACGCGAGAGGCCAGGGACTCATAGCTGATCAGTCTAGCTTACCACGGCTACAACGAGTCGTCAGAAATCGGCGCCCTGCCACACTTTGATGGAACTGCCCAGAATGTACGACGATGTAGGGTGAAACTCCGCCGCCGCCGAGGGTGGGTCAGCCTCGACACGCAGCGACGACGGCGTACGTGAGTCATGTCAACGAGCCCCGTTATCGTATGAAGGGAGCGCTTGGAGAGACGACTGTCTATGTGCTGGATACCGCCACGGGAGGCTGGGGACTTCCACTGCTCGCGACGGAGAGCTTGGCACCGACCACGGACTCACTTTCGACGCGAGACGCGGAGGCAAGCCGCGCTGCGTCATCAGCGGCGAGAGCACAGATCGCCGCCCTCACACTCCCCAACTTCGATTCCAACCTCGTGGACGCCGATGGCACGCGTGCGAATCTCAACTTCGACAGTCTGGACGTACGAATAGGCGCTCGCGCATGCGCACGGGACTCATGAGTCGGTTGTGGCTGCCTTCCGTCATGGCGCTGGACGATCCTCGCTCACAGCGTAGGGCGGCTGCGATTCCTCCACCGCCGCCTCCGAGCCGGTTGCAGGTGAGGATGCGGCACGGATCAAGGCGGAGTTGGAAGGCCGTTCCTTCCGGCAATTCGAACGACGACAGGAACGGAGACCGAGGAAGCGTGCGCCCATCCTGTGGCTCGTCTTCGGCCGATCGCAGCATCTGCCGGCCCCAGTACCGCCGAGGCGAGTGGCAGTCAACGAATGGGATTCGATCTTCGACCGACGACTACCGCAGCGAGGCAGAGGATTCGAGGGATACGCGAGCACGGCTCGCGAGCGGAATCACGATATAGGACTTGAACAGCCGAGTCGCCAGTAGCAAGACGATTGTCCCACCGAATGCGACGACTGCATACCAACCGACAGCGTGTCGCTCTCGGTCAGGAACGTCTTTGACAGCGAGAGCATATCGTTCAAGCTGAACCGATCCGACGTGACAGCCTGACCCCTGCCAGTTTCCGGTGTTCATTCATGACGGACGACAGTCTCATACGAGGGCAGCGACGAGTAGTTCGAGCGAACTCGGCACCAGACCTTGCGAATCTCACAGGCACGGGAAACTGGCGCGCCGGTGACTTGGGGAGGAAGCCAGGTTGGTGATCGCTGCAGTGCCGCGGCCGGGGTATGCCTTTGAGTCACCGGGGCGGCGTGTTGCCTTACCGAGAGCGTCCGAGACATATAGCTACGATATGCCGAGACATCAGAGCGCACTCCTTCACGAAAGTATCGCAACGCTCATGAAGATGGTACGAGTCGTCGCGATTCAGAGAGCTCCAGCTGGTCTCGCTTCAGCGCAAGATGGACACTGCGATCAACAGCAACGCTCTCACGCCACGTGTTTGATGATCCATCGCCTGAGCAGCAGCAATGGCTGGGCACGCCGACTGACAGACGTCATCATTGAGCGCTCCCGGTGACCTATCTACCCATCTTAGTAACGCCGGCCTGCGGTGAATCCTGCACAGTCTGGCAGGAGTTGCAGGAGAGGACACCGAGAACGCGCGCAACCTCTACGTATGTTGTCTTCGCATCCAGCCGTATATTCGTACGGTTGTCGAGATAATCGGATTTCGACAAGACTCATAGCCCGCAGACGCGGACAGCGACAATCCGCCCGCTTGTTTTTACGGCCTCCGAGACCGGCGGCGTATGAGGCTCTTCTGCCAATGGTGCGCTGACGGTCAGGCGATCGGCCGGGCCCGCAGCCGCGGCCTGAATTCATCGCGCCGTATCAGAACACGTTCGTCGTCGCGCAGGGCGAAAGCCTGCCCGAAACATGGGATTTGAGTATCCTGTGGACGCGGAAGGTTCGACCGCAACGATGCAGCGCAACACTTCCCATCGATGATAAGAAGCGACAGCGCGCGCGCTCAAGCTCCAGGGCCCAGCAGCCTTGAGACCATCGAGTAAGCTCCGATGACCGGCACGGCCAGCAGCGGGATGAGTGCGGTGTCCCGGAACGCCATTCGCAGATTGCCGCGGTCAGTATTGTTCCGCAACCCCCAGGTAGCGCGGCCAGTATGAACGCCACCGTGCGTATCGGCAAGATTTCGCCCCAGCGCCTCCAAATGGTGCGAAAGTCGGCCGCGAATGCAGAAGGCCAGCACGGCGCCTCCTATAGGAGTCCAGAATGACTCTCGCTCAGTCTATGGACCATGGAGGGACAGCTGGCCGGTCTCAGATTCAGGAGCCCGCTGCAAGCGCAGCGAATATCCCCACATGCCAGGTCCAGCATGAGAGCTGGTGATCCGCTGGATCACCTGGCCCTGCGGACGATGAACGGAAGGCGCCGCGATGCGTGGCAAGCAGAAGGACCAGTTCCTTGGCGTATTGCCTCAGGAACCGCGGCGACCCCAGCGACCCAGCAAGTGGAGACGGAGTCTGTGGCGCGGAAAGAGGACGAATGAGGTAGGAAGCGCCGTAATGGCCGTGGCCCCGGCGACCACTGGAAAAAATGAAGATCCCACCGCCGCGAAAACCGGCCCCGGTCTTGACCATCGCAAGCGAGAACTCGCCCATCTGAGGCATGCCAAGCCCCACGCTGAGCGATACCCGCTCGCTCTCTCCCGATTAGGAAACGTGCCCAGGTGTCTGCGACCACCTTCCCAACACGAGACTGAGGATTACCAAGACAGTATCGGGATGCATGAACGTCGTCCGCAGCGAGAGTCTTATCAGCCATGCACGTGGAGACGAAAGAAGAGCGAGTGCGGAACAGACGTACGTACACGGCGGACCATGGCACGGCCGATTTCGATTTGCTCCGCGTGCTGGGAGTCGCCAAGGACGGCGCCGATGAGACGACCGCGCCCGGCCGCGCCGGACAAGCCCACCTGCGCCGGACTGCCAGCGAACAAGCCCAAAAGCACAGGGTCAGCCCCGCTATCAGCAGGGTCTCCTCCGACTGGAAGCGGTCCACGAAGCTCACAAGTTTGTTGGCAAAGGCGGCGCCCAGGACAAGGGCAAGAACTGCGAAGGCTGCCAGCTTCACGACCACCGGCCCTATGCCGGCGATGTCGGCCTGCCCCGTGCTGGCTATTCCTGCAAGGACCGAGAGCAGGACAACGGCCGCGAAGTCCTCACATCCACAGATCCGACTATCAGCCCACGTTCCTCGAGTCGCCAGCAGCTGTCCCGACTCCCGCAGCATGGTCATCAGAATCGCGGAGCTGCTGATGACGCTCATGGCCGACCCCAGGAACACTGCCTCTATGTCGGTCCACCCCATGAGCTGCCCTATCTGGAATCCCAGGGTGAACATGACCGCCATCTCCACGGAGGCTATTAGCACGACCCTTGCTCCGACCTCGCGGATGCGCCGCCAGCCGCACTCCAGGCCAATGCCGAAGAGGAGCAGCACAAGGCCAAGCTCAGCAAGCAGCAGCCCCTATACGTTCCTCGTTCTGACAACAGCCCCCCAGAAGACCGACGGGCCGATGAGCACGCCCGCGCCCAGATAGCCGAGGATGGGGGGCATCTTCAACTGCGCGAGCAGCAGCAATAGCAGGACAACATGGCACGACTCCTCCGCACGCCGTGATGACCGCGAAGTCGCGCAGGAGGTGGGGCTCACCCCGGACGGTGGCCGCTGAGAGGCTGAAGAATGCGCTATCGATCATGTCAAGCGACTTGCGAGTCACCTACGGGCGCCGGCGGTGGAAGCGAGGCCAGGCGGAGTACGCCTCTCCGGGTAGAGTTGTCAGTTGCTCAGCCGGAAGGTTGGAATCCGGCAGGTTGCGCCGGCCATCGGCGTCACGTCGGTCGTGAGACTGGGGCGTACTCCCGCAATTTGGCGTGCGTGGCCAGGATCGCGGCCGGAAGTCCTGCACGTCGTGCGACCTCAACCTGTTGTCCGCTGAGACTATCTATGTGTCTTGACTCCAGTTCGTCTGCAGGCTCGAATCCGAAGACGCTTGAGTGAAAGCGGAACCTGGCTGAGGGGCGCTTCATGTTGGTCAACGCCTCGCTAAGTCCGTGGCGCTCGTCTTCACACGCAGGGTAGCCCGGCTGAGCATGTCGCTTCTCGGTTGAGCCGTTTCTCTAGGTTGCGTGGCGCGAGTACCGGCGTTCGGCGAAACGGGAATGGGCAATGTGTCGCGGGAAGCGAAAACGGGACGTTCCATGGTCTGCGTGGTATAGAATAGCGGGTCTGGGTGTCGACAACAATGAGGTCTAAGTTCAGATTATCACAGTTCAACCCTCCCCGCTATGGACAGGCGGGGAAGGCGCGAACTTTACTCGCGGCGTGCCCACTTTCGCACTCGTGTGCGGGCGATGGCCTCCGCTGTTGACTTCCAGCGCGGCCCGCGTTTGCCCGCGCCTGCTCGCTCTCGCAGCTCGCACGCACCTGAGCCCTAGGCCAATCGCCGGCTCCGTTCCGCTAGACCCGGATCTTGGCGGATAGTATCATCGCAGAACGCGCGGGCGCCTGCGTTCCGGGAATCCTGCGCCGCGGGTGAGAGGCGAATGCGAGGTGTGAGCATTCAATGTGGAAGTTTCGTGTGCCAGTACATTGGGTTCGTGGCCCTGGCGGCCGTGGCAGCTTCCTGTTCCGGCTCGGACGCGCCTGCGTGTCCGGACGGGACAGAGCACTACGTAGAGTACCGGCTGACTTTGGGAGGCTGTGCATGGCTTTGCGTCGGCGGCAGACGGTGAGGTCGTGGATGACGCCGCGTGGGAGGCCTTCCTCTCCGATACGGTTACGCCGCGCTTCCCGGACGGCCTCACCGTGCTGGATGCGCGCGGTCAGTGGCGCGGATCGAGTGGGGCGATTCAGTCGGAACGCTCCAAGGTGTTGTTGGTTCTCGCGCCGCCCGGAGGTGTGACGCGCGACCGCCTCATCGCGAGATCGCGAGGACGAGTCATACGACGTCATTCCAGCAGGAGTCCGTGCTCCGGGTGGTGGGAGACACCTGCGCGTCGTTTTCCTGACGCCGAGACACGGGACGCGTTTGCGCCGTCCGGTATGCATCGCAGCGCCATCTGCTAGAATGCGCACATGCCCAGCTACGGGATCACTCTCCTCTCCGGTGGACTCGACTCCACAACGGTCGCGGCCTACGCGAAGGGCCGCGTCGATCACCTGACGGCGGTTACGTTCAACTACGGCCAGACACACGCCAGGGAGGTCGAGTGCGCAACCAGCATCGCCGGCATCCTGGGCATCGAGCACAGGCTGCTTGACATTTCCTTCCTCTCCGAGGTCGCCTGGTACTCAGCACTCACCAGCCCGGAGCGGTTCCAGGTGCCGTCGGACCGGCCCGGCGAGGACATTGGCCACGGCGTTCCGATAACCTACGTGCCAATGCGCAACACGATCTTCCTGTCGCTTGCCGCCGCCTACATTGAGAGCCGCGTCCTGCACGCCATTGAGGTTGAGGAGATCGGAGCGGCGGACGTTGGCCAACCATTGGGGACAATGGGACAGAACGTGCTCGACTACAGCGGCTACCCGGACTGCCGGCCCGAGTTCTACGAGAGCATGTGCGCGGAGACCGCTGCGAGTCGGGCAGCCAAGCCGTCTGGACACTGAGTACGGGGCTGGTGGCCCAGGAGTGTTGGAGACGCCTATCATCGACATGACGAAGGCCGAGATAGTCGCGCTCGCAAACCGGCTCGGAGCGCTCCGCCGGAGCACAACCTGCGAGTCTGGCGGAAACACTGGGAGAGGCGACGCACCACTGTGACGCGCGGTGCGACAGCTGCATCTCTGCCGCGACGAAGGGTTACGCGCAGAAGCGGCGCGTGAGTCCGATCCGTCTGCATCGGCCGCGTGTGGGCCAGGGCCCTAGATCCTGCTCTGGTAAAGGCCGCGGGCCACCGCCGGAATCTGCTGTGGGCCGGATGCTGTGGCGTACACTGCGCCCACGCTCCAACCGTGCCCCGTAGTGGACAAAAGCTTCACCTGAGCTGCTCGGAATTTGCCTTGCGGAGCGGGCTGGTCCTAGCCCTCCGGCCAGCCGTCCGGAATTCTGTTCTCCGCCAGTGCCTCGCTGATGGCGGCGTCTGCGTCGCTGGTGACCCAGGTGCTCCAGATGCCGGGGTTCTGCTTCAGCCACCATAGGGCGGTGCATCGTTGTTGCTCGCGTCGTCGGAGTCTCTCGTGTCTGCCCGCCGGGCGGACGACTTCTCGCTGAAGCCTTTTCGATGTTGACGCGCCCAAGTGCCCAGTCATGTCGATGACCGCCCTTCGGATGCGCCCCTAGTCTGCAGCTCCGCAGCTCGTGTGTTCATCGCAATGATGATCGATGGCTGTCCTCGCATGGCGCATGCCTTGGTGCTGAGCCACAGCACTCCGACGCTGAAGGCAGGACTCTCTCGAGCGCCTGCACGCAGACCGTCCAGAAGCAGAGCGTCCAGTTTGTGCCCCACTAGGTCGCCAGAGTCCAGGGTACAGCTTCTGGTAGGCAGCACGATACCGGTCGGCGTTTGCGGCGGAGCTGCTCGTCACGGGAGTCAGTACGTGCACGGTCGGACAGCCCGTACGACTCGATCTGCGCAGAGCGTTTACTCTTCGCATGCCAGCCGCTAACGTCAGCCGACACCGAGCCGCGCCCATGCGCCCGTCTCCGCCGTAGCGAAACAGCAGCCTTGTATTCGTCGATCACTTGAGGTCTGTCGATGCTGGATCCGCAGGTCAGGCACATGTGCGATGCTCCTGGAGATAGGCGGAGTCTGACAAAACGACGATTGACCAGTCCTTTTCAGGCTCTCAGCGATGGGCTGCCACCTCACACCGTTGTCCACGGACCTCCGTCCATGCCTCCCGCTGGTGGGCAGCCGATCTCCATGTCACGTGCGTGTCGCCGTCGTGCGAAGGGCCGTTGAGGAGGGGCACAGCGTGTTGCGGACCCGAAAGACAACGCTCGTGGCGATGAGAAGCCGTGAGCCTTCCTCCACTATGTACATGTGCGCATCACCTGTGCTGGACCTGGGCGCTGGTCCAGTTCAGGTCGCTGCATGAATGAGTGGGCGCGGTCCTCCTTTTCTTCTAGTCAGCCATGCCAGCAGTGGCCAGTCCGACCGAGCAACGCACTGACAGCCATCAGTGCAAGACACTCGTGTCTGGTACTCTCATTGCTGCTCACCTCCACTCGTTCAACAGTTCGTGTCCCGCGTCCAGGCAAACTGGTGCTGTGACCCATGTATACACCGATGTGTGCACGATCGATCTAGTCGCATCCTTATCCGGCAGTGTGCTGTTCAAACGGAATGTGATGCTCAGTGGTGTCGCCGCGTAAGCTGAAAAAAGTCGCCCGAGCCCGTGAGTTAGTGACATGGGGCCGGACGTCTCCTAGATAGGCTGACTCGGAACACTGAGAAAGGTGACTTGTGGTACAACTATAGGGTAATGCGCGACTCGGCCGGGTGGGAGAGGATGGCAGACATGAGCTCGGAGAGGGCACTGATTGAGGTCGACGGACGCCTGCGAAGGTGTTTGGCGACAGCCGCGACAGGGATCTGCAGTCGGAGGTTATTGAGTCGACGAGCCGCGCCGAGATTCAGGAGGCGCTGGGCTTGGTGGTGGCCCTGAGAGACGTCTCGTTCCGGGTTCTTGCCGGTAACATATTCGTCGTGATGGGCCTGTCCGGCAGCGGCAAGTCTACGCTTGTGCGCTGCCTCATCCGGCTCATTGAGGCTACGAGCGGGCAGATCCGCTTTGACGGCGAAGACATCCGCAAGTTCTCGCCCAAGGAGCTTATGCAGTTCCGCCGGACCAAGGTCGCCATGGTATTCCAGCACTACTCCACTGCCTGTACTTCACCACAGAACGTCGTGGTCACAACGCTGGCGTATACGGCCTGAAGATCTCGGCGGCGGTGACAGGCAGTGCAAGGATACAAGGCGGACTGAGGAGGCATTGAGGTGTTTACTGTGGCGGGCGACTGGCGGGGCTGGGAGAACTACTTTCCGCGTGAGATGAGCGGCGGGATGCAGCAGCGCGTCGGGTTGGCGAGGGCCCTGGTGATGAACTCCGAGGTAATCCTCATGGACGAGCCCTTCAGCGGTCTCGATCCCCTGATACGAAGGGAGATGCAGGACCAGCTTATCACCCTGCAGTCGAACCTTAAGAAGACGATTGTGTTCATCACTCACGACCTCAACGAAGCCTCAAGCTGGGCGACCGCATCGCGATAATGCGGGACGGGGAGATCATTCAAGAGGGTTCGCCCGAGGATATCGTGATGCGGCGAAGAAGAGAGTCCGACGACGACTACGTTATCGAGTTTGTGCGTGACGTGTCCAGGGCAAAGATCATCAGGGCCAAGGCGATCATGCGAGAGCCTGACGTGGTGGCGTACGAGAGGCAGAACCCGCGCGTCGCACTGCACGCCATGCTGAATCACGGCATCGATTCGGTGTTCCTGATAGCACGGGACTTTACGCTGCGGGGGATACTCACCCGACAGCTGGCAAACGAAATGGTGTCGGAGCGAAGGGAGTCGTTGGAGGGCGCACAGGTCGTCGAGCCGGTTACAACCGACCCGGAAGACCATATCGAGGACATTGTACCGAAGTCTGCCCAGTCCGAGTAGTATCCGCAATCGTCTGGTCGCGAGGAAACGGGAGCTCATCCTTGGGAGGTTCCCAGGAGCGTATTGCTGGCGAGCATTTCCGAAAACGGTTAGGAGTTCTGACATGGCACAAGAACAGAGTGTTGAGTCCCGCGGTGTCGAGACACAGACGGCGCAATCGGGGTGGCGCATTCGCTCGCTGGTCTACAGCTGGGGATAGTAGCCTGGCTGGCGTGCGGTGGGTAGGTGGGCAATACTCGCGGCCAGTCTCCTGGTCTGGGGCTCTGAGATGGACTTTCCAACCACACACGTGTCCATGCAGAGACATCGGGGACGTAGTGCCTCGTGTGACACAGCAGGTCGCTCAAGGACGTCACCGCGGGCGCCATCGATGACTCCGTGGACTGGATTACGCTGAAGGGCGCCTCCGCGCTGTTCCTGACTGCGACTGAGCACAGGGTGTTACGGCACGCGTGTGATAACCATCGAAGTCGTCCCTGACGTGGACGTCCCTGTGCCGCGTCGTCGGCCTGGGCCTGCGCCTGAAGTTTCCTTTGCCGTGGGCCGTTGGCAGCCTCACGCCTCACGGACGCTGGCCCCACAGCCGACTTCGTCGGGTTGCAGGCGGGCTCTGGGAGAACATGATGGACACTGTGGCGAGCTGATGCGGTGCGAGTGATCGTGATGGGGAGTAGCACGCGGCTGCTCCGCTCGCATCTCTGGCCGCGCGCACCCGAGTACTGCGGACTAGCCCTGCCTTGCGTCCCCGATCCTGTCGACGAGATGCAGACACCATGCCCAGCTTCGTCTACCTGCTGCCCGGAATCCTGTTCTTCGGGCTGGGCAAGCCGGCAGGAATCTTCGCCACCATCATATATGAGGCGGTCCGCGCGGTGTACTAGTGCTGATCACGCAACCTGCGGATACGGACGCCAGTGGCCGCGAGAGACCCGGGTGCGAGGCTTCCGCTCATTCGGCGCGTCACCGTGGCAGCTGCTGACCACGGTGCAGATACCCATGGCGCTGCCCACTATCATGGCCGGCATCAACCAGACCACGATGATGGCCCTGGCCATGGTCACCATCGCCAGCATGGTGGCCGCGGGCGAGACTGGTGGCGAGCGACGCGTGCTGCGAGCGCTGCCGCAGAGAAGCCGTCGGACGGCAACGGGCACAGGGCACATGCAGGCCTGGCATCGCGTGTGTGTCACTGGCCTCATCAATAGACCGCCCGATGACGACAGTCCGTTGCCGCCAGCAGGCAGGATAGGATGAGCGTAGGCTAGCCGGCCACGGACGGAGCACCTGCGCAGGCCGCTCCTTTTTTATTCACACCCGTCTAACATTTTAGTTTCTCCGTTCTTCTTATACATTACCACTCTGGTTTCCCTTCCACGTTCAACACCACTTCAGTACTTCTTTCTTTTTTGTTCTAGTCGTTTAATATTGTTCCAGTTGAACTATGTTGCTTCGTTCTCTAGCGAAGAAAGGCAGCAGTTCCTTTACCACCCAATGACATAGCCTTACAGGTTCTTCCCTCCCTCCAATACCTATTTCGGCTTATGCTGTGTCCTCCATGACTAACCCTTTTCGTGTACTGTACTTTCTGCCCCTCTTTCCTTCCGTGAGTCTGGACAATATTCCGTCTATTGCCCATTCACGGATTGAGAGACTTGCAGCTTCACCTCGCCCCTCCGGGTTTAGCACAACAGCGTGAAGCGAAGCAGCGAAGCTGGTCGAGGCGGGGTTTAGCACGTCCCTTATCGGCAAAAGGCAAAAGGAAAAGGAACCAACTTTGGAATGCCCACTCCAGTCAGCATCTGCCATGGGATGCCCCGAGAGAATTGAGGAATGTTTCCATTACTTTTTTTTACCTGCACCTTTTTTCGTGTTTCCTGTAATATAATTTTCTTTTTTTGCATTTACCCCGGTCTACCACACATGCCCCACTAATAGTTCCATTCTCCTTTTCTTTTTATCCGTATTTTCTACTTGATGCTTCTTCTGCAGTTCTTCCTTAGGGGGCTTCTTCCCTTTCCTGCCGTTGACTATCCGGTCTCCACTTACCGGCACTTAACCTTTTCTAATACCTTTTTGCCTTATTTCTGCCCTATTGGGTGTTTCCATCCTCCTCTGAGGGCCTTTTATCCCCCCGGGTCTTTCCCTTTTTA